TGATGGATGGATGGATGGATGGATGGGTGGATGATGGATGAGGGAAAGATGGATGAATTGATAAATGGATGGATGATGAATAAATGGATGGATGATGGATGATGAATAAATGGATGATGAATAAATGGATGATGAATAAATGGATGGATGGATGATGGATGGATGTATTGATAAATGGATGGATGATGGATGATGAATAAATGGATGGATGGATGGGTGGATGATGGATGAGGGAAAGATGGATGAATTGATAAATGGATGGATGATGAATAAATGGATGGATGGATGATGGATGGATAAATGGATGGATGGAGGGAAGGATGTATGAATGGATGGATGATGGATAAATGGATGAATGGATGGGTGAATGATTGATGGATGGATGGATGGATGGATGGATGATGAATAAATGGATGGATGGATGATGGATGGATGTATTTATGCAGGCATGAATTGACGGATGTCATGAATCAATGGACATTTTTTAAGAATTACAAATAACTGCTGAAGAAAACCCAATTCAAGATGGCCGCCCCAGCCAACACAAAAAGTGTGTAAGTCCAGTGTACAGATCCAGAGCTGAAGTTGGGGCTGGTAGTAGCTGAGGGTCCTTCACAACACAAACTCTGATGTTTAACAGGAAGCTGGCGGGCGACCTGCACCGCTGGACTCTCGGATACGAGCGCACCAACTCTGAACTCTTCGTTTATGGAACTCCTCGAACTCTGGCCACTGTTCGCCACGGTCAGTTGGCTGAGGCGGCCATCTTCATCTTGGCAGGCTCCTTAAGTGAATCAGTTGTAGATGCAAATTCACCGACTATTTCCTGGAAGTTTCATCAAAATCCATCCAGTGGTCCGAGAGATATTTTGCTAACAGACAGGCAACATTGGCTCTAAATAGTTATCAGCTAATCTGTATGTTTGGAGACCAGGCTCAGCTACTACCACACCTGATTTTAACTCAATATATGTAAAATGATCTGTTTTAACCGTTCTTGTTTTGAAGATTTGCTGTAGATCCACTGATGAAGTTAAAAGATTATCGAGATATTTTGCAGACAAACCAGCACAAACACAAACAAACGTCCCAACGGTGAGTTTTAAAGCTGATGTCAGTCTGAATCCACCGTTAGGAGGTTTCTGTGGATAAAAGTACCCCCCAGCGGTAAAAGGCCTCTTTGTGGTCTGGCTCTTTGTGAAGCGGGCCATGTAAGGTGATAGTGGAGGTCCAGAGAGCGTCCAGGTACCTCCTCCCATCTGATGATGTCACTGCCCCATGACTCCTCCCCTGCACCTGCCCTGCTGTATAAAAAGGATGTGGTTGAGGTGGAGGTAACACATCACCGCACACCTGCAGGTTCAGGACCTGACCTGGAACAGCGGGCCCTGCCTCCTCCTGGCGTGACGTGCATCTTTTCATCAGCAGAAGAAGAAGACGAGGACGGGCGCTCAGCATGTCTGTAGGACTGGAGCTGATCGGTATCTCCCTGTGCATTCTGGGATGGATCATCGCCATCGTGGCCTGCGCCCTCCCCATGTGGCGGGTGACGGCCTTCATCGGCAGCAACATCGTGACGGCTCAGATCATCTGGGAGGGCCTGTGGATGACCTGCGTGGTCCAGAGCACGGGGCAGATGCAGTGCAAGGTCTACGACTCCATGCTGGCCCTGTCCCAGGACCTCCAGGCTGCCAGGGCCCTCACCGTCATCTCCATCCTGTTGGCCATCTTGGCCGTGCTCGTGGCCATCGCCGGCGCCAAGTGCACCAACTGCATCGAGGACGAGGCCTCCAAGGCCAAGGTGATGATCATCTCCGGGGTCTTCTTCATTGTCTCCGGGGTCATGCAGCTCATACCCGTGTCCTGGTCCGCCCACACCATCATCAGGGACTTCTACAACCCGCTGATCACCGACGCTCAGCGCAGGGAGCTGGGGGCGGCGCTGTACATCGGCTGGGCGGCGGCGGCGCTGCTGGTCCTCGGAGGTGGACTCCTGTGCTGCTCCTGCCCGCCCAAAGAGACCAGGTACAACAACTCACGGATGGCCTACTCCGCCTCCCGCTCCATGGGGGGCCCGGGGCTGGAGAGGAAGGACTACGTTTGATCCACGCAGGAAAGACTTGACCCACGCCGAAGGGTCGGCGCGTCCGTGAAGAACACACCTGGTGTTTTTTAAAATGTCTTCACGTTGAGAGGATTCATCCGTGTCGTTCTCAAATGAGACGTTTTGTAAAATGTGAAACGTTGCGAGCGTGCACGACTGAAAACTGCGCATGAACCCACTTCAGGGTGAAACTCAAAGGTAAAAACAGAACCGTGTGTCGTAAACTGTGCGAGCCGTTACTCCAGAGGTAATCCCCGTTCATTTCTTGTAAAGGGGGAGAGATTAGGAGATTATGGCGTTCAGGTGTTGAAGGCTCTCGGACGTCCTCGGCGGTTAAAAAACAGCAGCTGGAAACATTTAACCGCTTCGGCTGTTCGGGAGTCTTTACAACGCTTCAGCTTGGGCCGAGGCAGAACAAACAAACTGCGTTCATTTACAACTTGGTGTTTTACATTTAACCGTCTCACACTTGTGTCATAAATGTTTGTTTTTTTAATAAAACTGGGTTTTTTTAGCTTCTGAATGTTTGGTTTTATTTTGAAAAAGATGCTGCAGCTCCAGTTGGACAGAACGACCGACCGCTGCATGACTCGGTGAACCTTTAACAGACTGCCGTTGACATTTGATCCCGAGGGCCGTGACACACACACACACACACACACACACGCAGTTTACCGTTAGCTTTAAGGAGCGGCTCCTTCTGATCACGCTTGTAGGTTTTATTTTAGAAAAAGACTGAACTTATTCAGGCTGAAGTTTTGTTTGATGGCTCCGGCCTTTCAGCCTGAACACCTGCTGCCACACCTGGAGACAAAGCGCTGAAGCACACGCATGAAAAATTCACCACCTTCACAGTAAATATGGCTGAAGGCTCCTGCAGCCGGATCACGTTCCTCGTATCCATGTCGCCGCCAATCATCCGCTCAGGACGACGGTAACTACAGATTACAGCTCGCCTGCCGGGAATCAGACCGCCGGGGTTTCTTCGCCCTTTCTGTCAGACTTCATGCTTCATAAAACAACAGATGTGGACAGTGATCACTTCCTGTTCCTCTGACTTTCACGTTTGCTCATCGTTGACCCGAACAGGAAGCCGCCGAGTCACAGAAGCTTTTCGGTCAATAAATGAATCTTTGAGAGCGAACGCTGCTGGTTTTCACGTGACACGAATCAGAAACCAGAGAAAAATCATCCGAAAACTCAATGAGAGCTGAAGACGCTGAAACTAAGAAAACACGAGCTAAAAGCAGGAAAACACAAGCCAAGCTAAAAAGCAAAAGGTTGACTAAAAGTATCTAAAGGCTACCTACAGGCTAAAATGATAAAAGGCTGACTAAAAGCTAAAAGTATCAATAAGCTAGCTAGAAATGGAAAGATTAAAAGACTGGCTAAAATCAGGCCAAGAGCTAAAAATCAGCAAAGGGCTAACAAAAAGCATGATAAGTCAATTAGAAGCTAAAAGCATCAAAATGCTGACTAAAAGCTAAAATAATAAAAGTCTAGCTAAAAATTAAATGTAACAGAACAGCAGCTAACAGCTAAATTAGCAAAAGGCTACCTAAATGTACCAAAAAGCTACCCAAAAGCTAAGCTTGCTAAAAATAGTAAAAGCTAAATCTAAAACAGCAAAAGACTACCTAAAAACATCAGAAATTTTGGTAGATGCTAAAATGGAAAAAAGCTGGCTAACAGCTAAAAGTTTGCAAAAAGCTAGCTAAAAGCAGAGAGCATCAAAATGCTAGCTAAAGCTAAAAGTAGCAAAAAGCTAAGAGCCAAAAAAGCAAATAGG